TTTGTTCAAAAAAAAAAAAAAAAAAAAAAAAAGCTATAGTTTGATTTTGTGTGTGTTCTCATTCCTTTTAAATCCTCTTTTTCTCTTTTTGTTTACTCGGCAGAGAACACGCAGTGTACACGTAGTTGTAACTTGTAATAAATTCTAGATGTTTGCTAATTAAGATCTGTAATGAGTAGTGTAAAAAATCTCAGTTGTGGACAGTGTTGAGTTACGGGGCAGTGATATTTGAGGTGGAGAATGAGAGACTAGTGGGTGGGTGGGTGCCATGTGTTGTAGATAAAAATGTTATTAAGATGGGAGCTGTGAAGTAGGGAGACTAGGTCAATGCACTACTACTGCACATGTGGAACCAAAAAAGAACAGCTAAGTCTTCGTTGTCGCGTAATTAATGAAGGGACTCGGTCTTGTTGATTCGTTCTCGTCTTTCTAGAAAGCCTAATGCTGACATAGCTAAGTCCTTCTTCTCTTCTTTTTCTTTCTTCTTATTTTACACTTGCACAATAATAAAATTTGACTAAACACTTGCAAATTTTTAAGATTATAAAACGTAAAACAAAAATACTAAAATTCAGAGAGGATTGTCAATTTTTTTATTATTAGCATTCAACATTATTTTATATGTTCATATTTGTATTGAAATATCTATATGGATAAATGGTAGGTGTATAATGGAATGATGTGAATGGTGTCATTAGCAGTCAAAATCATGGATGGGCCATAATTATAATATAGCTACCAACAATAATTAATTCATACACAAAACATATACAGATATCATGTATTTAAACTAAAAAAAAAAAATCCTATGATCCCCTATCATGTGTTCCAAAATAAACCACACGTGCTGGGATTCACAATATCGAAGAGGCTTTGAAACATGAAAGCACGAAGATTAATGATAAAGACATGACAAGCTCTCCTCCTTCTCCTAAGTTATTTTTTATGGACATTTGAAGTTTGATTGGTTTGTTTTTATACTTTTCGTTCAGTTTAAAGGACAGATGAAATCGTGTTAAAAGCGTATTTCCCGCAAATGGTTCCTTGTGAGACTCACTGTCCAGTGTACACGACCGATTAATTTAGCCCCCAACTGAGTAGTTATTTATTTATATAACTGAGACAAAAATCTGTATGAGACCATTGCTCCTAACATGTTCATTCCATAATTCAGAAACACGCAACACAACAAAGATACAATAACATATATATTATATAAATGTCAGAGTGGTTTATGACCGTTATCAAAGAAACTAAATATATATATATATATGCATAATTTGTTTATGATTTACAAGTTAGTTGTCTACTTGGTAACAGCTTCTTCGAGCTCTCTTAAACCACCAACTTTCTGTTCAATTTCTTCGATAAGCTCTTCACGCCATAGCTCTGCTCTTGCTTTCTCTTCTATGTCCTCTTGCTGCATATAACGACTCTATCAAATCTATTATAGATTTATAGTTGTATTGTATATTAAACGTGATGTATAAAAAGTCTATGGGATGCATCATACATACAAGCAAAAACACAAAAACAACTTTTATCAAATCTATAATAGTTGTATGTTACTAAATCGTGATGTACTAAAAGCTATGGCCCGACACAGCCCAACCTGGACCAAACCGGCCCAAATTTAATAGACCAAACTACCTGCTATCTATATGGGATTAATGTTAGCAGAATTACATCAAACCTGTTTAGCCTTGAATTCACTGTTACCAGAATTGAAAAAAATGGCCATCTACATACTTTGCTTTCTTTATCTCAGCCTAACTACTTAGGCATATAAAGTGGTCAAACCCATCCACAGAGTCAGGATCTATGAAGACCAGTGTGGGATAGTCAATGACAACATCCCAAACTATAGTTTCTAATGTTAGAAAGAGAGATACTTACAGTTTCATAGACCCAGTATCCAGTTCCATCACCTCCATCTCCACGGTACTCCTCCGAGTCATAGAATGGATCCTATATATGCATGCACCATCAGCAAATGGATGTCAAAAGATTTGTTTTGAGTTGAATTTTTTTTCCCTTACTTTTGCGGAACCAAAGTACAGACATCCCCAACAAGTGAACATGATGTAGAACAAATCTGCAAGATCAGGACCCATATATATCAAAATATCCACAAACCAAATTGACGGGAAAAAAAAACTATTTCTTGTCTTAATGAACAGAAAAATTTGCTACTTACAGACATTCTTGATAGCTTTATCACTTAGATGCCACACGTGTTTCTCTGTAATGATATCACGCATCCCTTCTATTTGTTGAACCATCACAGCCATTAGTGGCATATCATGTGGCAGTGCCTTTCTTACACATAAGCTTCCTCTCATCAGGTTCTTTTCCCTCTTCTCATTCTGTTTCAGGATTATAAAACGTAATTTATTTTTTAAACGTAAAATTCATAACAAGAACAATCAGATTCTTAACAAAACTCGTAGTTATATGCAATCACTTACTGCAGATAGCCAAAATCCATGATTGGTCCCTGAAATCTGCTTAGGCTATACAACACAAGACAAACTTTCTTAAGTATTTTTTTTCTAATATAAATGATGATATCATTTATTAGTATATGAAAATAGTTAATATGTACCAAGTAGCCTGAGGAAGAAGGGATATGAAGGTTTGTGAAGGTGAATGCTTCTGCCATTGATACTGTTTTGATTAGTGACAATGGAGGAGATATTAAGACACAGTGTTGCTGCAACCCTTTTCTATTATTATTTTAACTTTAAGATTAGATTCTTGGAGACAGTAACATGTGGATAAGAGAATCAGTTTCCTCCACTCTTTTAACTCTTGTCATACATAAAACAAAGCGCGTGTTAGCAATCACACAGCAAGTCTAGTCTTCTAAAAGCGCAGGTTAACGACTGGACTACGAAACCAACTATCTTCCCTCCGTGTAAAATAGTAACCGTTCCATCTGCGCATATTAGCACTGACAAAAATGTCTACTCTTTAAAACGCGCATATTAGCACTGACAAAAATGTCTACTCTTTAAAACGCGCATGTTAGCACTCACGGAAACGTGTTTACTCAACCAAAAGCGCACGTTAGCATCAATTTTTCCAGAAAGTTTCCACCTTCGTCTTCTTCTTCTTCCCGTGTCCTCCTAATCTCTTTCTCATCTTCCTCGAACAATTGACTCACACGATGGGATTGCTCGACCTAGAGAAACACTTCGCCTTCTACGGCGCTTACCACAGCAACCCAATCAACATCGTAATCCACATCATCTTCGTGTGGCCCATCGTCTTCACAGCCTTGCTCCTCCTCCACTCCTCCACCCCAATTCTCGATCTTTCTCAATCAGGGCTCCCTCAATCGCTGACCCTCGACGGCGTTCTCCGGTTAAACGTCGGGTTTATCTTAACCGTGGTTTATGCTCTGTTCTACATCTGTTTGGATAAAAGATCCGGTTTTGTAGCGGCTCTCTTGTGTTTCTCTTGTTGGGTTGGTTCAAGTGTTCTCGCTGCTCGGTTAGGACCTTCTCTAGCCTTAAAGGTTAGATTTTTTTTTAGTCTAAATGTAATGTTTGTGAGATAAAGGTTGAGTTTTTTTTTGTGAAGGGAGTGTATTTATGAGAGGGTATGTGTATGCATTTATTGTTCGTTGTGTTTGATGCTTTGAGTTAGATATTAGCTACAGGGATTTTATTATTCCTTCCTCTCTCTCTCTCTCTATGGGTCTCTTCATTGGCTGCTAACGTTTGAGACGGCAGTAGTGATATTCTGTCTGTCTTGTGGCTTTGGAGATTCATGATTAGTGATTGCAAGTTTGTTCTGCAGATGGTTCATCTTTAGAGTTTGCATGATTCTGATTCTTTGGTCTGTAGTCTTGTTAATGAAGAGCATTTTGATATGCGTTTATTGTCTTTTGGGCAGTAAGATTAGTGATGGTCTTTGATTTTTAGAGTCTACGCTATGTGTTCAACTAGTTATTTTAATTCCAAAGCATTTGAAGGAACATCTGTTAACTTTAGGAGGTTTTTATGTATGCATCAGTGTTCTCAATCGTGTGATTAGTTTGTTATGGATTCTGAAGAAAGTGAAATTAGGGTAAATATGTGTGGATTCTGTGTTATGTTATGTTATGTTAGATACTGTAACTGTTTTCACTTTTTTTTTTGTTCTCAGGTTGGGATAGCGTCTCAGCTGTTATGTTGGACCGGGCAGTTTCTTGGCCATGGACTGTTCGAGGTAAAGTCCTTTGTTGGCTCTTGGAAATCATTGTTTTGATTCTCCTTTAGTGTTTAATCATCAGAGGCCTAAAACAGATGTTGTTGATTCTTGTTACAGAAACGAGCACCTGCGCTATTAGACAATCTGCTCCAAGCTTTTCTCATGGCTCCTTTCTTCGTCTTGCTCGAGGTGAAGTTTTCTTTTGGTGTTGACGTGTTGTGTGTTCTATTTGTTCTCTCTGGCTACCTTCTTGTTTCTAATGCTTTGTGAAACACATAGCCAGAAAACTTGAAAAGCTAATTGTGGGAATGAAATGTAGGTTCTACAATCGGTTTTCGGGTATGAACCGTATCCAGGATTTCAAGCTCGTGTGAATGCCAAGGTAGAAAGTGACATAAAGGAATGGAGAGCAAAGAAGCAGATCAAGAAGAATAAGCTCACATAAGCTTTGGATCAATATAACTGAACAACTTAAACCCATTGTAATGTTTCCACATTAAAAAACGAGATAATAATAATAATACTAAGACCACCACCATGGATTGATGGATTCGTGTATAAATATATTGAAGGGAAATTGCTTAACAAAAGTTATGTGTTATTACTAGAAGAAGAACACCTTCCCACATTTGCAAGTTGCAAACAAAAGATCCAACAATGTTTTCATTTCATCAGTTTTCTCCGAAAGATATAATCCAGAATTCTTGAAAGCCAACTAATGAATCTCGGATAGGGATTGGACGATCTCAGAGAAGTCATTCGCCTTCCAGGATTCACCACAACAATCCAATCCACATCCTCTGCGTTTTAGATGTTTTGGTTTTTGGGTTTACTCGGTTTAAGGTTTTCATTTCTGGTTAATTATTGATGAAATATCTGACAAGTTCCTTTATTTTAAACCTTCATTATATTATTGATCAATTCTATCCTCAAGTCTTTTTCATCTAAAAAATAGTGGAAGGCCTTTGGACCAATGGCACCAGATTTCTAAACATGCAGTTTGCTGCAAGACTGCAAGAATAATGGTGTAAAGATTATCACAAGGTCTAGAGAATTGCTAGCACATAACTATTTTTTTTTCTGTGGTTTTGTATTTTGGAGAGAGTTTGTCCATCATGAAGAATTTCGTACATTGCAAGGAACACTGCATATATGTTTTACTTTTATGTATTTGAAGATCATAATTATTAGCAGTGGCAGAGCCCATGTTACTGGTAATGGGGTGGGTCACTTGCCCCAGTAGAGTTTTAAATTATTTTACTAATTATAACTAGTTTTAGTTGATGCTTCCTTGATAATTTTAAATTCGAACCCAGTATTTTTGCTCAGAAATTTAATATCATAAATGAAATATTAGGTAGATACAAAGCTATAGACCAATGGATGAGCCTGCCAACTTTTTAAAAAGGGACCAAATTTTTTTTTTTTTTTTTTGGATCAAATTTAAAAAGGGACCAATATAGGTCTTAACTTTCATGGGAAGGTTCCTCTCATCCTCTGATCAATATTTATCGCTTTTACCCTATATCCTAATGCGAACATAAAATAATTCGATCGATTTCCACAATTTACAATATATTATACATCAAATTGCATATAATTGAACTAATACCAATGGACAAAAAAGGATAGCATTAAAGTAAGATAGATGCATCAAGTCGTTATTATATCCAAAGAGATTACAAGTTGCTGAAAAGTCTTCTTCGATGTCTTTGACCTCCCAGTCAATTTGCTTGAAGATGACTGATGATGGGATGACATGGTTTTTGTGAAGAATATTCTTGCGATGACCTCCAAGTCAATCAAATGGTTTATTTCAGTCACTTGTAATTACAAGATAAATAACAATTATTAAAAAAAGACAAAGGATTAGCATTGTTTATTTAATATTCGTGGGTTGTTATCTATTTTCATTTTTGAACAACAAGTATAGTATAATAATTTATTTATACAATAAATAAATTAAATTAAATAGTACATTTATAGAAATATATTAGAATTTAAAATTTTATATACTGGATGTAGACAAAAACATTTTCTCGTTTTAATGTTATTTCATATTGACTCATTATATATTAAAAATATATCAAAAATAAAGAAATACTCTTTATAAAAGAAAAAGTGTTTCGTTTGGAATTTTTGTAAGTGTTTCGTTTGGAATTTTTGTTAACTAGAATTTTCTTAATCCTTTTATACTCATGATTTTCTTACTATCGATTTTTTTTCTTTACGTACAAATCAAATTTCAAAAATAATTTTTAAGATATAATATATTTACAGATTTTGCAAAAATAATGTTTATTATATGTCAAACTTTCAATATCCGTGAAATATTTTCAGACAAAATTTGTATAATCAATTTAGATAGTATACTGGTTTTCAATATTAATTTCAATATAATTAATATTTTAATATATTTTGCTTCCAATAGAATAAGTTTCTGGCCGCCACTAACAATTAAGTTAGGTTTGGATCGACTATCTACAATAATGATGTATGACGACGACAAAAAACTAAAACAATCTCAAAAACAATGGGCGTGGACAGTTTATAGTCAACATACTGAATGCAGATTTCCTTTTTTTGTAGACTATATTAAACCCCCAAGTGTAAGCTTACCTTCTCGGCACGGAAACAAACTCACCAAAGCAGAAAAAAAAGAGAGCATTTAATACAAATAATACCTTCTCTAGGGAGAAGAAATGGCTCCGTCGGTGATCGTAAATCCAAGGTTCTGTGTTCCTAACTCCGTGGATCTGGCCATGGTGCGGGATAAGATTGCGAAACAGTACGGTAACTTCGTTTTCAAGGACGTTAACGGGAACATGCTGTTCCAGGTGAAGAAGCCCGGTTCTGGTCTTCACAAGAAGATGATCTTGTTGGATGGTTTTGGATCTCCGGTCTTGACTATGAAAGAGAAGGTCCATAGACTCATTAAGAAAAACACACACACACACACATACAACTTAAGAGTTCGTATGTACTATGTATAGTCTGGTTTAACTAAATTAAATTTTATTGCAGACGATGACATTGCATAACAGGTGGCAAATATTTAAAGGAGGGAGTACGGAAGAGCGTGATATGCTGTACACTGTGAAGAGATCGTCGATGCTTCAGCGTACGACGAAACTTGATGTGTTTTTGGGTCACAGCAATGAAGAGAAGACATGCGATTTCAAAGTCAAAGGGACTAATTGGCTCGAACGGTCTTGTGTTGCCTACGCAGGTGAATCTGACGTCATTGTTGCCCAAGTAAACTCACTCTCACTCTCTTTCCTTTTTTGTTTCTTTTTCCACATTGATTATTAAGGTGGATCCAGCTTATATTCGGTTAAACAATTAATTTATGCTCTCACATGTCTACGAGTTAGTTAATATCCGGTTATGGTTCAGAGTTGGTTTAGCATGGTGTTATATCGGTTGGGATCGATTTTGGTTTGATTTCAAATCAACTTTTTTTTTTATTTTGGTTCTAGTTTATCCAAAATAATCATATGCTTAGCCTATATGTGAATTGGCAGGTAAACCATGTGTTTTAGAACAGTTAATTTCACAATTGCAACACTTATTAAACCAAAATTAATTGTCAAAAAAAAAAACTTGAATATTCGGTTGGTTGGTTGTTAAATCTATGTAACAGATGCAGCATAAGAAGCACACGCGGCATACCATTTTATCAGGAAACGATAGTTTCTCGGTGACGGTTAATCCAAACATCGATTATGCCTTCATTGCCTCTCTCGTAGTTCTTTTCGATGTTGTTGACCGACAAGAGCCAGCCAAAGGAATCGGCACTGATAATTTCGAGGCTGCACACATTGTACAGGGATTATTTCAGTGATGAATTTCAGAGAGTTTAAATTCAACCAAAACATATTATTGTTCAATTAATGATTCTAAGTTTGTTTTAAAACTAGCTCAGTGTTGTACCATCTTATATTCATAAATTATGCATCCTAAATTTTAAAATCTAGTGTTGTTCAAAACAAAATGATTTTGAAAATCTTTGTAAATGGTTGGTGTCATTTGAATTATTTCCAATGAAATTTCATGAATAAAAATTTAAAAACGAAATTCAAATAATATTGTATATTTTAAAACTCAGACACATGAATTTATAAAAGTAAATTAAGAAATTCAAAACCTAAACATTATAAAACCTAAATAATTAAGTTTAGATATTTGTTTTTGTCAACAATAATTAGGTTTAGATATATAAATATTATAAAACTTAAATAATTAAGTTGATATATGATTAAATAACACCCCTAGATGTAAATTGTAATTGATTTTTATAATATAGAGTGACCTACATTTATTAGTTCTTTAAAATTTTAGTTCAAAACCAATATTTAACTAGCTATGTCCAACGCTGATCCTCTACCGGCAGCTGTGTGTGGATATGCTTTTGGTTTTGCATAGTTGTACGTTCTCTCGATTGTTGTTGATACGTTTTTTTTTTTTTTGTAAACAAAAGTTGTTGATACGTTGTACTTCATAATGTTGCATTGTTCCTACAAAATTTGGTGCGATCATTCCAGTTGTAAGAATAATGATTTTCAACTGTTGGATATAATAAACATACATATATTTTCTATGAACTTAATGATAATATGACAACTAATGTGAAATTTTGTAAATATGATGAAACATCGCTACCTAGTAATTGGCTAGCTTTGGCTGGATGGTCAACAACTCTAATCTCAACAAGCTCTTTCTTGAAAAATCTAAGTTTAGAGACATACTGTAATAGTTTTCATCGATGAATGAACCAGTTGGTACACGGCTCTAGTTCCCAGCTTTTATCAAACAACATACACTCATTGGGACTGCGTAACCAGTATGTGCCTTCAACCGTGATACACTCAAGAAGAGACAGAGCACTTGAAGAGGTGATGCCAGATCGATCAGAGAGACTTAAGGAGCTAACCAGACGAAAGAAACCCAATTAGGTGCATTCGAAAGAACAAAAGAAATAGATACATAGAAAAAGCAATGCCTCTTTGTTACAGCCAAAGCCTCAACGTTGAATATGACACATATGATAAGAATCTTATGAACAGCCTGACACAAACACAAAAAAAAAATCAAGAGGATGAGAAAAGTCAGCAACTTTCAATGATTGCAACTCAAAAGAGGTAAACAAAAGGGTCAGAGATCCAATGTATTGATCAACAATGCTAAAGGGGTTTTACTTCTAATACGCTCTTATAACTGAAGAAAGCAAGAACCAAAATGAATTGAATTTCGAGTGTAATCTTTTTTTTTTCTAATAATCCGAAATAAATATTGATATTTATCATTAATGATATCCATATTATACAATAAAGAGAAATTTAGTAGAGTGTCTGCAAATATTATACTCCCCCTTAAAGATACATATTTTAGAAAAAAAAATTTGTTTCTAAAAGATCTATTTTTTTCAATACATGTTTTATTAACTAATTGTAAACTTCAAAAAACTGAATTGCACTAATTGATTTTTATTGGTTTAAAATTATGGAAAAAAAATAAATACAAAAAAATTATGCAAATTTATTGTGTTTTATTAAAAAGTGTGAAAAACTAAATATGGATATTTTAGAAACAGAGGGAGTATCAAATAATCTTGCATTTGTATGAAATTTTATAAATACCATATGTAGTAAAGAAGGATTTGGAAAAAAATAAATTAAAATTCCATGAAATCCCTCATCCAGTAACCCCAACTAATATTAATAAAAATCGATTATTTTTTTTTGACATCCAGAATTTTTTTTTTTTTTTTTGGAGATGAAGACAAATATTTTTAGCTGGATGTATCTAGTACCGGCATTCGATGAGCTCTACAAGTGAAAGCTAAACAGAAGAACATGCATGACATGATGAGAATCTCCATGACCACCAAGGGATTTCATTGTTTTAAACCAACCCCATTGACAATTGTTTGTTGGTCTTATTAAGAGCCCATGTGTAAGATATCATCTGAATTGTGGCCGAGTCGAAGCTATGACCTGCCTTAACGGAGACAAACATCATGTTCCTCTTTTTTTTTTTTTTTTTTTGCATCACTTCAATGCTTTCCCTTACTCCAAGGGAAAGTCAATTTTTTCGAGTATACACAAAACTTTGACGTGTTTTCAACAACTGTATGATTTGTATTTTTGGGCATTGTCAATCACAGTTTTAAGATGTCTTGGCTCCTTGTAATTAATGGTTCCTTTGATAATATTTATTCTTCGATACACCCTCTATGATTAGGTTCATACTTGCCTAATAATCAATTAAAATTTGCCAACACATACTTTATTTGTGAAAAAAATAATAACAATCATAAATAGCATTAATTACCAAAACAAAAATTAATGTTGTTCATGCTGTTAGCAAAACTTTAAATCTTAAATTATACTAAACACTAAACCTTAAATGTCATCAACAAAACCGTAAACCATATTCTCTCTGTTTCAAAAAGATAAACATTCTAGAAAGAATATTTGTTTTAAAAAGATGTATTTTTTACATTTTCAATATATAATTTAATGAAAAATTGTAGATTTAAAAAAAAAATTAATTGTGTTTCTTAAAATTTTATTGGTTAAAGAATATAGGGATTTGCTATCTAAATAAATGATGCATTGGTAATCAAAATATTATGTTTTTTTTAATATGTGTGAAAAAACTAAAACGTTTAAATTTTTAAAACAGAGGGAGTATATCGTAAGATTTAAGATTTATCCAAGAGTTTAGAATTTAGTGATTATGATTTAGAATTTAAGATCAAGAAAACCATTGATCCTATACCCTAGAAATTATGATTGATCTTAGTGTTTAGAATTTATCCAACACTTTAGGATTTATCCAAGATTTAGTGATTAAGATCTAGATTTAGTTTTTTTTTTATGGTTTAGGGTTTAAAATTTTGCTGACGGCATTAATAATATTGTTTATTTTTTAATTATTTATTTTAAAAATATAATATAATTTGACAATTTTTATTAGCTATTATGTTTGTGGTGAACCTATATGTTTATCTTATGAGATGAATCTAATAATAACTCTTTTGATAATGCATCCAATTTTTTTAGTAAGTTATTAAAAACTATCCGATGCAACTTGCAAGACAAAAAACAACAAATATTTTTGTTTTCACTTTTATATCTTTACTATATCTGGCGGAAGACATAATTTCCCGAGATTATAGATGTTGAGATTTTTTTGTTCAAAAACAAAAATATTTAGATTAGTTGGATTCCAACGAAGTAACAATTATATGACTCTATTCAAAAGTAATAGTTATATGGTTCTGTAAAGATGTAATAGTTAGATGGTTGGAGTGGATAATGGGAATATATATGTTGGTTGTGTGACTTGTGACATTAACATCAACGCGGAAAATCTCCTCTTAATAGTAAATACTAAACAATGTTATGTGTTATTACTAGAAGAAGAACACCTTTCCACAGTTGCAAGTTGCAAACAAAAGATGAACAATGTTTTCATTTCATCAGTTTTCTCCGAAAAGTGTTCCAAAATTCTTGAAAGCCAACTAATGAATCTGGGATTGGGATTGGACGATCTCAGAGAAATCATTCACCTTCCAGGATTCAACCACAACGATCCAATCCACATCCTTTCTGCGTTTTAGATGTTTTGGTTTTTGGGTTTACTTGGTTTGAGGTCTTCATATCTGGTTAATTATTGATGAAATGTCTAACACGTTCCTTAACTTCATACTTCCATTCTATTATTAATCAATTCTATCTTTCAAGAACTTTTTCATCTAAAAAATAGTGGAAATCCTTTGGACAATGCACCAGATTTGAGTTTCAATTTCTAAGCATGCAGTTTTCTGCAAGAATAATGGTGTAAAGATTATCACAAGGTCTAGAGTATTGCTAGCACATGACTTCTTTTTGTGGTTCTGTATATAGAGAGTTTGTCCATCACGAAGAATGTCGTATATTGCTCAGAATCATCCGTCATGTATCTAAATTGCAGGGAAAACTGCATAATGGAATTGCAAGAACTGTTTATCATAATCATATATGTTATATGTAGTTGAAGATCATAATTATTCGCAGTGGCAGAGCCCATGTTACTGGTAATGGGGTCACTTGCCCAGTAGATTTTTTTTACTAATTATAACTAGTTTTAGAATAAATGCTTCTTTGACAATTTTAAATAAATCTGTACCCATTTTTTCCTAAGAAATTTAATATCATAAATGAAAAATTAGGTAGATACAAAGCTATAGAGATGAGCCTGTCAACTTTGAAAAAGGGACCAAATAGGTCTAACTTTCATGGGAATGTTCCTCCTCTGATCAATATTTGTGGCTTTCACACTATCTCCACAATTCAGATATGAAAACAAAAAAATAATCCGGTTTCCACAATTTACAATATATTATACATCGAATTAACATATAATTGAAGCAAATAACATGGCATAAAGAAAGAAAGAAAAAAAAGGATAGCATTAAAGTAAGATAGATGCATGAAGTCTTTATTTTATCCCGAGAGATTACAAGTTGCTGAAAAGTCTTCTTCGATGTCTTTGACCTCCCAGTCCCAGTCAATTTGCTTTGATGAAGTTTCTGTGAAGAATAAGGTTGCGATGACCTCCAAGTCAATCAAATGGTTTATTTCAATTATTTTCAAATATTCGTTTATATCTCCAATTTAATTTTTTTTTATTCTAAAATAAAGTAAAAAAGTATGGAATAGAAAACATTTTATCTCTGTTTTATTTCTCATTTCATAATAGAATTTATTCTATAAATGGAGTAATCTGTTTTTTGTTTGTTAATATTCCATTATAAAGTAAAAAATGGATTTGAAATAATTTAATATATATTTTCTTTTATTCCATTTAAAAAAAAAAATTTACATTGAAAATACTCTAACAGACCAAATCCATGTTCACATTTTTACTAGTCAAACAAACCAAACCAAATACAAAATATACCAAAATAATAAGTACTTGTTCACCCCTAATAAAAATCTGATTCTTATTTTCCTCCTTTATGATACAAAAGTTATACATTATATCATAGATATACACTACCGCATCATTGTTTATATCTACTTGTTAGAGAAAACAATTTTTATACTCATGATTTTTTTTACCATCCAATTTGTTTCTTTGCGTAAGAATCAAAACTTATGGTTGTGCATATTTTTAAGTTATAATTTCTTTTCAGATTTTGCAAAGATAATTTTTATTATATGACAAACTCTTAATATCCGTGCAATCTTTTCAGACAAAACTTGTAAAATCAGTTTAGATAATATACTGGTTTTTAAATATTAAATTTCAATATAATTAATAATTTAATATAGTTTACACCAATAAAATAAGTGTATGGCTGCCACTAACATATGTATTAATTAGGTTAGTCTTTTTTAAATATTAGATTAGGTTAAGTTTCTGGCCGCCACTAATATATATTAATTAGGTTAGGTTCCCTTGAATCAAACTATAAATCAATAATGATGTATGACGAGGACAAAAATAAAATAATCTCAAAAACAATGGGGGTAGACCGTTTATAACTACTGGATGCAGATTTCATTTTTTGTAGACTAGACGAAACCTATTCACCAAAGCAGAAAAAAAAGATAGAGAGAGCAAATTCTACAATAATAACGTTTCTAGGGAGAAGAAGGACGAAAATGGCGCAGTTGGTGATCGTGCATCCAAGTTTCTGTGTTCCTGACCCCGTGGATCTGCTGTTGGTGCGGGACGAGATTGCGTCACAGTACGGTAACTTCGTTATGGGTGACGTTAGCGGGAACACGCTGTTCAAGATGGAGAAGCCGGGTTCTGGTCTTGGCAAGAAGATGATCTTGTTGGATCGTTATAGAGTTCCGGTCTTGACTATGAAAGAGAAGGTCCATAGTAGACTCTTTAAAAACAAACACACACACACAACTTAAATAGTTCGTATGTTGTTACTAAGTATAGTCTGGTTTAACTAAATTAAATTTTATTGCAGACGATGACATTGCATAACAGGTGGCAAATATTTAAAGGAGGGAGTACGGAAGAGTGTGATTTGCTGTACACTGTGAAGAGACCGTCGATGATTCAGCGTACGACGAAACTTGATGTATTTTTGGGTCACAACAATGAAGAGAAGACATGCGATTTCAAAGTCAAAGGGACTAATTGGCTCGAACGCTCTTGGGTCGCCTACGAAGGTGAATCTGACGTCATTGTTGCCCAAGTAAACTCACTCACTCACTCTTTTTCCTTTTTTTTTTTTTTTTTTCTTTTTCAACATTTATCACTAAGGTGGACCCAGCCTATATAAGATTACACAACTATTTTATGCCTCACATGTCTACGAGTTAGTAGCACGATGTTATATCGGTTTTGGATCAATTTTGGTTTGCTTTCAAATCAACTTCTTCTTTTTAATTTTGGTTCTGTTCAGTTTTTTTTTTTAAATCGAATGGTGTGTATCTATGTGACAGTTGCAGCACGAGAAGCACACTCGGCAGACCGCTTCAACGGGAAAGGACACTTTTTGGGTGACGGTTAATCCAAACGTCGATTATGCCTTCATTACCTCTGTCGCAATCCTTTTCGATGTTGTTGACCGACAAGAGCCAGTCCAAGGAATCGGCCAGATAATTTCGAGGCTAACACACTGTACAGGCTTTACATCGATAAAGGGTTTTAAAAGAGTTTAAATCCAACCAAAATCTCTTTTTATTCAATGAATGATTCTAAGTTAATGTTTTAAAGTTCAGTGCTACTGGTTCATGAGACATGATGAGAATCTTCATCACCACCAAGTTATTTCATTGTTTTAAACCAACCCTATTGACAATATTAGCTCATATTAAGAGCCCATATGTAAAATATAATCTGAATTGTGGTCAATGTTGAAGCTATAACCGGCCTTAAGACCATCTCCAATGGTTTATACAATTTTTTTTTTCTAAAATAGAGTAACACTAAATGGAATTGGTTGTTTGCTCCAATGTAATTCTATTATAGAGTTGAGTTGAAAATAAAGTAATGAAAAAAAAAACAAGTTACTCTATATTTAGTGTAAACCTATTTTTTATTTTATTATAAAGTGAAAAATAGAATACCATTGAAGTAAATTTATTCTAAACTTTATTTTAGTGTTGAAAATAGAGTAGGGTTAGTAGATACCGAAGACAAACATCACGTTCATCTTCTTTTATTTTGCTTCACTCCAATGATTTCCCTTAATCCAAGGGAAAGTCAATTTTTTTTTTTCTTTTGCATATGCACAAATTGACACGTGTTTTCAACAACTGTATGACTTTGTATTTTTGAGCATTGTCAATCACAGTTTTAAGATGTCTTGGCTCTTTGTAATGATTCCTTTGATAATACATCCAATTTCTTTTTTTTTATAAGAATTATCAAAAACCACCCGATGCAACTTGCAAGATAAAAACAACATATTTTCTGTTTTCACTTTTATATATTTACTATTATTATTTTAAAATAATAGATTTATATCTTTAGTATATATGGCGCAAGAAATAATTTCCAGAGATTATAGATATTGAGATTTTTGTTAATATTTAGTTGGATTCCAATGAAGTAATAATTATATGGCTCTATTTAAAATTAGTGATTATATGGTTCTGTAATAGTTATACTAGATTTTGATATGTGCAACAATGCAAATGTTTTTTTTTCAAATTGAATTGAGGAAGTTGTAAACTATGTCGGTTGCGTATTTCATTTTTGAATGGTGAAACAGTTAAATTGATATCTTAGATAAGTAACTTATAATTTGATAATTATATATAAAACATAAATTTTCTAGTGTTTTTGTCTGTAATATACATTCACTTTTTTAATATATGACATTTTAGAAAATTATTTTTACTTCAAATAAGATAATTTTTTTAATTTTAAATGCAAGTTTATTCATTTTTTCTTTTTATACAATTTTTGTATTCTCGTGTTAGCGATTTTATTTGTTATTATCTTTATTATGAAAACTAAATAATAGAATAATTAAATGTGATATTTTTTAAGAGATGGTATAAAATAAAATATCACACATAAAAATGTCATGATTTATTTTTTAATATATAAGATGACTGGCGTGGATAATGGGAATAGGTTGGTTGTGTGACTTTGTGACATTAACAGCAACATGGAAATTCTCATGCTAAGTACTATACGAAACAACCTTCGTTGGACTCGATCGACTTATTTTCTAAATTCATTTTGTATTTTGTAATGCTACTTGCATCTCTTACAATCATTCTCTTGGTCAAAGTGGTCCACATTAATTTTCTCTGTTGCAACAATAAATCATATGCTAACAACATACACTAGTACTGGACTGATCGAGTCAGAGGAGGTCGTCAAGTATGTGAGTACTTTCGTAAAAGAGAGAGACGTACGGCGCCGTCGTCTCGTACTCTATTTCGTCAGTCTCCATAAAACGCCTAATTTCTTCATCGTCCCATATCAGAAAATCATCATTTTCTTCACCACCACCAATCTTATGATCCCTCTTTAACCCTTCTTCTTGCTCATCTTGATCATTGCTTGTGATTCTCGGGACCAACAAGATGTTCTTGATCCGATCAAGATCATGTTGTTTAGACGAGATACCTGTGGCGAGCTTGTTTAGGAGCCAAGCTGAGCCGGAAGATGAGGAGGTAGAAGACGACGTAGACGTTGAAGAGCTACCACATTCTTCGTTAGTGGTCGTGACGGTGAGGTTGTTATTGATGATGGGTCCGTGGGTCATCGGGTCAATTCCTTTCCTCAACAATCTTTTCTTGAGACAAGAGTTCCAGTGGTTCTTGATGTCGTTGTCTGTTCGATTATCCATTTCCTTCGCAATGGCTGCCCACCTTCAATTATCAACGATTACAACAACCAAGTTTAGAATTACGTTTTATAATATCACGCTCAAAACTAAGACTAATTAATCTCCAAGTTCATAGAAGAGTCCAATATTGTGCACACAGTACCAAATTACCAATATCTAGTTTAAACCTCATTATTATTGTTTACTAAATTATGAATAATGCGCATGTATATTTAATTACCGTCATAACTAATACTAACAATTTTTAGAAATTACTGCAGTTGCAATCATGTTATCATGGATGACTAATACTTGAACGAGTTTTAAATTTTATTTGATCGAATTTACCTCAAAAGGACAAAGAAAGTAAGGTTAGATCGTACGTATGCAGTAATTAAGTACGTGATATTATTTTGTAATTTACGATGGATGTTGATATTATCATGTAGCCAATATTATTATTTCCTGATATATATATATATATATATATATATATATATATATATATATATATATATATATATATTCATTTTTTGTAATCTCCAATAAATGATCATGCACATGTAGATGTTCTCATTGTGTTCTTTATATATTTTTCGAATGAATTCTTTTTCAGATACACATCAAATATTACTTTGTTTTAAGGTTATAGCTGAATCATAAAACATGAGATAGAGCTCTGGTAGAAACAGAATAAAATAATAAAATAATTACTTACGCTGGTAAACAAGTGGTCTTTAAATATTATTATGTAACAAAAACTCTGTTGTGTAGAATAATACATATTATACTAGTTTAACATCCCTTTGTGAGAACCATTTCACGTAATCCAAATGGTAGGTTTGACAGAACTGTAGTTTTCTTATGCAAATAATACAGAGTAGCAGTTATTAATTACTACCTTCTTGTCAAATTAAGTGTTGTTGAGAACTTTTTTGTTATAAAATAAATATTGTTTTAAAATTCTAATGTAAAATTTATTAATTTTATTTTTAATTTATTTTTATTGATTGAAATATAATTAGATATATGCATAATAATATTTTTATATTATTTAAAATATAGTTAAATATATAGATAATAATACTTTAATAAAAATATACACAATTAAACATTTTTTAATATTAATGTGCAAATATAAAAGGACATTTAACATGAAATGGAAAGAGTAAGAAACTAACCTGTTTCCGAGAACAGCATGAAGTTTGATGATCTCTTCTTCTTCCTTAGGAGTGAATTTGCCTCTTTTAATCCCTGGCCTTAGGTAATTAAGCCACCTTAGTCTGCAGCTCTTTCCACATCTCTGCAAACCTGTTTTGTTTCATGAGAAATTATCGAGATGTCAATTTTGGTAGTCAAAAAGTAGTTTCATTGTCCTTTTGTAGTGGCAAACAAAAGAAAGTTGAGAAATTTAAACTTTTCATCAACAATGGAAAAGGTACTAATTAAAGTTTGAAGATTTAAAACATATACAATCGTCCTCTATAGATATGGATAAAGCATAAGGAACACATGTCGCTCTTGGGCACCGTTGATAGATTGCAATCGATTTTTATAATATCATATGGATAGAACTGGCATAAGAGTTTCAACTAAGTAGGTTCCAGAACAAAATATATAATCATACTATACAAAGAAATTTAGCAATCATTCATCTACTATCGTTACAATATTAACACACATTATGGAGTGTATATGTACTTCCCTTGGGGGTTCACACAAATAAAAAAATATTTTTTTTTTAATTTTTGTTTATTTTTTTTTTAAAAAAAAATTAATAATGGACCAATCATATGCTGACACATGGTGAACTCGGGGTCATCGGGGTTCACCGCGATGAACTTTTGAGAGAGGGGTTCATAGAAATCTGATTTTTATATTATTTTTTTCTCAGTTGGCGTGTGAACTCCCCTCATCACTCTTACAAAAATGATTTCGCTAGGATTTCATGGAGTTTTTATAATTGAGTTTGAAACCCCAAAAGAAAATGTTTTTTTTTTTTTTTTAAACGAAAATGGATTCTGCTAATCACTTTTTTTTTGCTGCTATTCACTTCAGTATGTAGAACATATATATACCAAATTTCATATCCCAAAATGTGAATTACCAACAAGCAACAACAAATACGGAAAAAGGTACTGTCTGCAACTATTTCCAAAACCAAGTTTACAATCAGAAAAATATGTGAAGTGTTCTAATATATATATCCAAATATTTCACTAGATATACACACAGTATATATATATATATATATATATATATATATATATATATATATATATATATATATGTGTGTGTGTGTATATTAATTTCCCTTTACATTTAGAATGAAGAGGAATTGTAATAAATTACAAAAGGCTGAACCACCTTTTAAGAGTGTTTCTATGCCAAAAATAAAATAAAAACAGGAGGAAACTTGGTTGTTAATTTGATCCGTGTTAACTATAGAAAATCTAATATCGAAGGAAAAAGCTAGGACTGATATAGATAAACCCCTATTTCAAAAAATATTAGCTGAACAAAAAGGAAATAAAGAACATGTACAAAATCGGTTTGGGCATAAACATTTGTGTAGAACTTAAAAATAAAATAAAATAACATACATCAACATAAATCTCCAAACTCTATTTTAAAATTTATTAATCTTTTTAATGAATATCCTCTACATAACCTTTAGAAAGTTTTAGGGCCGTCCTGAACCCATAAACACAAAGTATAGATGCACTTTCATATATGTTCTTTCTTTGTAAATGACACTTTTATATATTTTATGAGATATTGCTTCTATATATATGGATGTGGTGTAACTGTGTATGAGTAACTATCTATATATATATACCAGCCCTTCTGGGGAGAGTACGCCAATCACAGATGCCATGCTCATTGATGTAAGCGACAAGGTTTTGATCTTCCTCCGCCGTCCACTCTCCTTTCTTCATCCCGTCTCCGTCGACCCACGTCTTCCTCCCCATTTTTCTCAGACCGACCAACCCTATAACTGTCACGTTCATTACCTCACGATAAGACGAGTCTCTTATAATAAGATAAATACTCTCTCTCTTTTTTTTTCTTTTTTTTTTACTTATTGTGGAATGGTCTCAAGACAGTGAGCAGTGTGGGATTGTGTCTAAAGGATATCCAGTTATATATATAACACCTCATTTTTTGGTTTTATTATACTCCATCGCTGGATTTTTTATTTAGAATTCCTCGCCGCTAGATTTAGCGACTTTTTAAAAATGTGTTTCTGGAAAGTTGAATTTAAAGTACAAATTATTTGGAATCTTGCCAAAATTATCTGTACAAAATTAATAGTAAAATTATTTGGGAGAACAAATATCACTGAATTCGTCAAGTTTAAAATTTATTACGTTTTTACAACAATAAATTTAGCTAAGAGAAAGATTTAACTCGATTTCGGCAAACCAAATCGAAAATACTAGATTAATATATGCCACATTTGAAGGTAACACCGAACACCTCATACAAATTTGTCTGCTAAAATGTTTTATGCCTTTAAGATATGTTCAATTCTAAAAGTTGAGAAAAAATCCTTATAATGTTCAAGTTCTTCCATTTGTTTAGTGAAAGTTGGTCATTCCTTCGGTAAAGACATCATCTTCACCAGTTATAAATAATCTGATGTAAACAATACTTCTAAAATTTACAGGGTTTTCATATATTTACATCGCCCAGATCAACGTCTTACATTCAACATGTAACAGTGGTAGGTTTCATCGAATATAAATAGCCTTGATAATCTGATCTCCTGCATCTCTTTCTTTACAAACTCATTCTTGACCTGAGAATTGATCTAGTTTCTTTCAAGCATAGCCAGTATAACACCTTGTTATATCTACAATGGATTGATCAGGTGGAACAATTAAAATATCCTCTTAATCAGATCCTAGGTCATCACGTTGTGCTTTTACTCATATCATGCTTTCAGTTTCTTACAAGACGCAAAATATCATTTTGATGCCATTTTGTTTTTTATAGAATTTATTATGTTAATATAATCTTTTTAGCTATCAAAATATTAAAATCAATTAAGAATAGATTTTAAAATTAACAACCTTTTAACAAAAACATAAAAAATCAATTCGATGGTGACTATAAGAATATCAGTGTCTAGACATGGAAGTTTCTTTTGAAAGCCAAACATGGAAATCTTAGACATATGAAAATACATTTAATGATAATCGTGATAACTGTTATTTAGTTATCTTAAATTGAACAAAAATAGTTTAGATTTTTTATTGAAACAAAAAAATAGTTAATGTTAGCAAAATATAAAACAGAAATACACACATGTTTTGATTAGTTTATATTGTAGATTTAGTTTTTACTTTAGATTTTTAAACTGTAAATTTTTTTATTGTAGTTAAAAAATTCTATAAAATTATTTCAAAAAACATCTAAAGTATTATTTCTATAGAAAATTTGATTCAAAGCTAATATATCATATTTTAGATTTTTGCAGTTATAAGTTCATTTTTAAATTAAAGCATTATTGATTTACAACAAAACTATAGAAAGATTAAATAGTTATTTACAGATCTTCTAATCAGTCTAACAGTAACGTAATATAAGGGATGATTGATACCAGTTGTGGGATTTATAGATAGCACCATTTAAATTTACAGCACTCAATCTAAATCAATCAACAATTTGTAGACATCATTATTTAAATTTACAGTATTTAATCTAAAATAATCAAGCTTTATCATTTGTTTTATGTTGACAGCAAATTATAAAAATTCACCACCCTTTTTTGAAATCATGTTATTATAATTGTTGTGGAGAGACAAGTATCTACCACCTAAATCTAATGGCTCTTAAGAATTAAAAACCTAAGCAAAAGTAAAAAAATTTACAGCTATAATTCTACAGCCAAAAAATGAAATCACATCACTTACCAATCATACCCATAACTTCGTAGCCACTTCAGTGTTATTCCTTCTTTTTTTATCGTCAACCTTTAGCGTGATTACTTAAATAAGAATATGACTCACGTGTAAATTCTAATTTTATATTTTGTGAAATCCTCAAGAACATGCTAGAAACAAAAGTGGTTAAAGCCAAAGTAAGATAGTCCAATTACATGCATACATGTATCATATCGTATTAGACTACGTTGCACGTATTGTTTTTCCCCATCTTAGCTTATAATAAAATATCATATTGTTACTTTATACCCTGGCTTAATACTAAGAGCAAGCGCAGTAGTGTGTTTTCACATAAGATTCTAGTTAAAACAATTAATAAAATAAGGAATAATTGGAGAGAAAATTGGAAGACTATGAGAATCGTCCGGTCGCAGAGAGATTTCTCATTAATCTGAAGAGACTATCAACCTTGTTGTCTCTTTTTCTTTCACACAGTTTTAGTTCAAATTTTTTTTTATTTTGTTAATCATTTATTATGTGTGAAAATATTAATACATTTATGTGTAGAGACTCATGTTGACATATTTAACACTAATGATGCTCTAAGTTACTAACTAATAGTGATGATACTGATTTACTGTTGGAAAAAGAAAGCAGAAGAGCATGTGATAACTAGGTTTTGTTGGGCCACAACTGATGAAACCATGTTCACATCTTTTTTTTCCCGCCATTCACATCTTTCTTTTTGCAACATTAGTGGTAGTTTTTTTTTGTAACTGAATTTATGGGGTGGAAGCTCCATTACTCTAGTGATTTACCTAGGAGTTTATTAATGTTTCTACACTAGAAAATTTAGGTTTTAATTTTTAGAGAAGACAAATTATGCAAATTAGTATAGAAAAAACTTGCAAAAAATCTACAACATGGTGTAAGGAGTACGATTAAGCGTGGATCTCATATGATGGCTCAAATGATACAGTTAAACGTGATTTCACATAAGTCATTTATGATTGTTAGATGTTGAATCATCTGAAATACTTTTCGTAATTTGTAATATCATGATTTTTTTGTAATATCATAATTATTCAGTGTGAAAAAGAATTGGACTTTAAAAGAATTGGACATTTATGGTAGTTTTGTATCATGTGTATTGAATATAGAATTTATAAATAAATAAAAAAAAGAATAAAAGGAATTCTCCAGTGACTGGAAAGACCTTCCTTTTCTCGAATTCTTCTTTGTGAACATTTTTTTTTGTTATATTCATCTTTCTCCATTCACACTCTTTTTTCTGAACAAAATTCTCCATTCACATTCTTGAGTTTTTTTGGGTTAAATACTCTTGAGTTTTCTCATTCAGTATATATATTATATATGTTAAATGGGAAAATAGCATAAAAAACCTTTAAAGTGACACTCACTAGCACTTTAAACCTTAAACTTATTTAACAAGCATATTGAACATTCAACTTGACATTTGTATCACAAAAAAACCTTCAACTTGGCTTACTTATTTGTCAAGTTAAAATTGTGACTTGTTAACCTACAATAGTAGGTCACATGTTATTTTTTTTTGTTTTATCTAATTAATAATTGCAATTAACAATTAAAAACCTAAATAAAATTAGAAAATTAAAGAAAAAATTCTAAAATTGAATTCAATAAAAATAAAAAATATTTTCTTAAAACTTCAAAATTTTTAAATTGAAAATTTTGCAAATTAGAAACTTTAAAAAAAAATCATCTAAAACTATTAAATTTTCTCACAAAAATAAATAATTTTAAACATTATCACCATTATCTTGAACACTCTTTGTCATATCATTATTAAGAATATATATTTGGTTATATCGCTAGTGACAATAGTGTCAAAATCATTGTTATTTTTATATAAGAAATTAATTATCATCGTTAAAGATATCAATAAAATTAAACATTTAAAACTTACAAAACATTATTATTAATTCTGATATGACGAAAGGTGCTCCTTTTACTAGTGCACTATTTATTTTTGAATAACATTTTAAAGCATTTGCCTTATAAGCTTTTTAAATGTTTAGTTAATAATAATAACGTACTAATAAATATGAGTTAGAGGTTATCTTTGATATTGAAAAAGTTGTATTAAGAGTTAAAATGTTTATATTGAAATCATCATATAGTTGTTGTTTTTTATTAACAAAATACAAAAAAAATCTATCAAGGTATTAAATTATTAGTAAGATACATTAATATAATTATGGGGATAATAAAATTGCTTTAGATGCTATTAATATGACCATTAATAATAATGTCGTATGGTTAGAGAAAATAAAGGGAAAACCAAAATATTAAAAAAAAAAGGTCTAAACAACTTTCATAGATATATTTTTAAAGACTCATTCCTTTTTAATAGTATTGATATAGTTTATAAAAAATATACACTCATATATCACAAAATTTCATTTAGAATAAGAATTAAACACTTGTAAATTCTTAAGAAAATATTTTGATTTTTTTTTAAATTAAGATTTTTGAATTTTCTGTACTTTAAAACAAATATTTTTGAAAACTTACACGTTAAAAAAAAAAATTTAAGAATATACTTTGGTTTTTATTAAATTCAGTTTTAGATTTTTTCTGTAATTTTCTAATTTTATTTAGTTTTTTATTGTTAATTGTATTTATTAATTAAATAAAATAAAATAAAAACAACATGTGACCTACTATTGTAGGTTAACAAGTCACAATTTAAACTTGACGAACAAGTAAGCCAAGTTGAAGGTTTTTTGTGATACAAATGTCAAGTTGAATGTTCAATATGCTAGTTAAATAAGTTCAAGGTTTAAAGTGCTAGTGAGTGCTACTTCGAAAGTTTTTTATGCTATTTTCCCTATGTTAAATACAATACTTTTCAAGAATTTAGCTAGAGAAATACAAGCATGTGTTGATATGATTATAATAAAATTACGGTATCCGTGCTTCTAAACTTTTTCTTATGTTGAACAAAGATATTTTCTTAAAGCATCTCCAAAATACATTTTATAACTTTAAAAAAATATTTTAGTCTCTAAAAACAATTCTAAAACTTCAAATTTGAAATTTTGAGTAACGAAACTTCATATATAGAGTGTCACTACTCAAAATTTCAAATTTGAAGTTTCATATTTTTATTTGCATTTTGGTTTTTACAATAACACATTACATTTATGATTGTTAGATATTTTGTTATTTATTGTTTCAATCTTTAAAAAACTGAACTTATAAATATTTAAAAATTATATTTAAATTTT